CATAGTTATCAAATCGTGTATCGGAAGGCGTATCGTAAGATACAAATATTGTATCGTATCGTGTATCGTATCGTGTATCGTAAGATACGATGCAATTTTAAATAAATAATAAAAAAATATATATACCTTTGAAAAAAAGTCATACACTCATAAAAAATATAGCATTTCATTAATACTCCACCAACTATTCAAGTTATCAACATAATCCACTACTATTATAATGCAAAGTTCACAACCATAGTTCACTAATTCAAACTTTAAACACCAAAGAGACTTCTAATCCAAATTTCTAACATCCATTTTGAACTCAATCTTCAATTTCAATTGAAAATGCATCATCATCATCATCATTGTGATCGGATGCCAACAAGTCTTCACTTGTCGTTTTTTTTAAAAAAAAATCAGAGCACAAAACGACGTCGTTTTTAAAAAAAAAAAAAAAAAAAAATAAAAAATAAAATTGCACGTATCGTGCGTATCGTACCAATACGTATCGTATCGTAAAAACGTATCGTGTATCGAACGATACAACGCAAAAACGATACATAACTACGATCCGTATCGTTTTAGGGCTGTATCGTAACGTATCGCGTATCGTACGATACTAACAACTTTGTATATAAACAGAGAGAGAGAGAGAGAGAAAGAGATGCACGATATGTATATCTTTTTAGTTATTGGAGGGTAGTAGTGTTATCAAGTGGTATTTTAGACCATGAATTAATGTGTCTTTTTGTGTTATTAAAGGTCAATTGCGTCATTATCAAGTGTTATTTTAGACCATGAATTAAAATGTGTCTTTTTGTGTTATTGAAGGTCAATTGTGTTATTAAGTAAAATTTTGAAATAGGAAGACATGTTTATGTTTTTTGATTAAAGATAGTAGTGTTATTAAGGTTAGTTTAGTGAGTCACAAGATTTTCTAAGATCCATACATTTGTAAGTCATGGGAATATAGATAAGAAAAAGAAATTAAAGACTCTTGACACTGCGTTTGCTCCATGCCCTAATGATTTGGAGTTCNCATGTTTATGTTTTTTGATTAAAGATAGTAGTGTTATTAAGGTTAGTTTAGTGAGTCACAAGGTTTTCTAAGATCCATACATTTGTAAGTCATGGGGATATAGATAAGAAAAAGAAATTAAAGACTCTTGACACTGCGTTTGCTCCATGCCCTAATGATTTGGAGTTCAATGAGTTTGATCACTGGACAGATTCTTACAGTTGAATCATTTATAGCTTATTTTTTAAGTGGAGTTGTTAATCTATTGTTATATTTCAGGACAGTGGGACTTTGTGTCTCATTTAGTGTCTTTTGTTTGAAAATGCAATTTAAATTCTTTATATACCTAATTACAGAACTNTCAAGTGGAGTTGTTAATCTATTGTAATATTTCAGGACAGTGGGACTTTGTGTCTCATTCAGTGTCTTTTGTTTGAAAATGCAATTTAAATTCTTTATATACCTAATTACAGAACTTATATTCCACTAACTAGTATTATCATAAAACAGTATAAAAATAAGAAGTGGTTAAATCGACTGTATAAAATACGACCAATCANTTAAGTGGAGTTGTTAATCTATTGTTATATTTCAGGACAGTGGGACTTTGTGTCTCATTTAGTGTCTTTTGTTTGAAAATGCAATTTAAATTCTTTATATACCTAATTACAGAACTTATATTCCACTAACTAGTATTATCATAAAACAGTATAAAAATAAGAAGTGGTTAAATCGACTGTATAAAATACGACCAATCAACAGAAAATGGGACATTTCAAATGACCACAAACTTCTTATACTATATTATTTCATATTCATAGCGTGTGTGATCTTCTCATATTTATAAAAGAGGTATAGGTGTGATTTCAAGTCATTAATAGAATTATTTACAACCTTTATAGATTGAAGGTAAAGATACCTAGTCCTTGGTCATGTTCTTTGCACAAGGTTTATCATTTTTGTGCAGGTAAATCATTTTAAGTTGATTTGATTCCAACATAGTTTCATATAAATTTCTTCAGTTCTGTGATAGGATCTTATTCATAGCTGTCTCTGATACATGCTGAACACATTTACCTTTTGGAGGTTTGGTATTATAAATGATTTGAGTGCTTTTTTTTGCTAAAAATTGTCAGTGCTTTATATTCCTTCTGTCTTGAAACTAAAAGAAAATTTGACTTATTTGAGACTTAACCTATCGTCTTATCGACGGTGTTTTTCCTTTTTAGTTTCACCTTGTTACATTTAATTTTAATTTTTGTTTCACAGGCCAGTTCCAAAGGATGGTNCCTGTTCCTCTATTGTTCGATATAAACCTAGAGAACTTCTTCCTTGTCCTTGCCCTTGAGTTATCTTTTAAACAAGTCCTCCCACCCAATTTTGAAAACTTTGAAACTTCACCTTTCTCAATTTTGAAAGATATGATGCCCAGAGATGCTCCGGTGTTAAATGCACATAGACTTGTTAGGATAAGTTTCCCCTTTGGCCCAACATGATGAAACATTGTATTTTGATTATTTATTTTTAATTTTGCACAACAAAATGGGAACATACAGGAAGCTTTATAGTATTCTTCTGGTGGCCAAATTTATTGAAGTGGAAGTTCTGTTTTGTGTTTCTAACAATTATGTTAATATTTTCAATAACAACTTGTAACTTTAAAGGAACTTAATTTCCTCTCAAGCGTACTATTGGACAAATGCGAAAGTGGAAAATTCTTTACTTGGAGAAATTTAGAAGTTTGGAGTTCAAGTCGTCCGTGCTTTGAAATAGATGATTTAAATCACAGATTCAGGGGTAGTAACCATTGGCAAATGTGGCAACNATAGCGATGAGGATAGCGAGAAACATGATCCACAATGCCAGAACTTGATTGAGTGATAGAATTAGAAGAGAGAGGCGCTGAATTTGTAGAAGAGACAATAATTATGAAGTGGATGCAACTTATGGTATTAGTGGTGTGCATGTCATGCCCTTATGGAAGCAACATTATGTATTTTTGCATCTGCTATTTGGCTTTGATTCATCGGCCAAGTAAGTTGCTTTAAAAGAGTGGACTCTGAATTATATAAAAGATGACCTGAATTAAGTCAGGAAAGGNCAGATGTTGGGTACTGGCAATTGTGGGACAATGTCAGAAACAACTCCTAACTTCAAAGAATGTCATCGGCCTCTGTTATAGTATTACCTCTAGTAAAAGAAAACATTTGCTTTTCTTTATAGTTTGTATGTTTTGTTGGTTGGCCGTTATGTTTTGATAGACTTGAGCGTTTGGCTTGAGAGAGATGGTAGTGTTATATTATTCTGCTATAGAAACTATGAGCAAGTGTAATTACAGTACAGGACTTGTGAAAACAAGGTCATAATCTAATTAAGGTTTAAATTGGTATGCAATTGATTGTGCTCCTTTTGAATGATTTTGCTCTGGAATTTTCCTTGGATTCCAGAAAATATCAAAATACAATCCGTAGGATGAACAAAGTGAAATGTTCAATGTGAGATGCAAAGATTTTTTGTTTCCTGTAGTTATTTTGTTGGTTTTTTGTGTGGGTAGTTTGTTCCATTTTTTGCTTGGATATTTCGTATGCGACCATAGAAATGTATTTTACAACTTTTGAGACATGAAGAGACATATTGCTGCTAAACTTAACTCTAGTCAAAGAGGGTGCATTACCATGCTTTGATTCTAATGCAGTGCAAGTTTTTAGGTTGGGGTTGCAGAGATGAAGGTTGCTATTGAAAGAACAGGTGGCCTTGTTGTTCTAGCTGAAAGTTTTGGTCATTCTGTTTTTAAAGACTCTTTTAGGCGCGTTTTTGAAGAAGGGGAACAAGCACTTGGTCTCTCCTTCAAGTGAGTTTCTCAATATTAAAAGTTCCAAACTTCTTAAATTCTTCATTAATCTGTTTTCCATTTATGTCTTGTTTAGGCACTATGTGATTTTGAGGGACTTATTCTTTACAATTCCCTCATCTCATACATTATAGATGGTATTGTTTTGGATATATATTTCATGGATTGCGTATGGTTGAAATGACTGTTCCTTTAAAACCATATACCATAAATAACATAATCTGGTCTGTTAATAGTTATCTGATTGGTTGTGGCAAGTTCGAAGCTTCATTCTATGATTCTAGTTACATGTTATGTGTGTTTCTCTCTCCAAATGTGTATTATTACTTTGAGCTTCATAGTTTGTGTCAGAGATGTGTGGTTTATTGTGTGAGAAAGATTATTTATATAATATACATGTGAGATGTGCCTATGTTATAATTCTTTATATAATATGCATGTGCGATGTGCCTATGTCATAATATTAATCCATACTCCTGTCATAACATTAATCCATACTCCTGAGCAAATCTATTGGCTACTAATGGAGCTTTGTATCTTTCCACAATGCCATGTGATTTTGTTTTGATCTTATAAACCTACTTACAACCAATGCGGTATTTGTCAATAGGTAAAGGAACTAATTCCCAAGTTCAGGTGTTATGTAAGGTAGATAACTTCTCATCCATAGCCTGTTGTCAAAGGGGATCAAGGATAGCCTCCTTATAAGAGGTGGGCTCAGACAAAGAATGAATAGAAGTGAGAAAGACTCATAAGTTAGAATAATAATAAGAGTTGGAGAAATCAAACCTATCTAGACATATCTAAGAGCGATGAGGATAGCGAGAAACATGATCCACAATGCCAGAACTTGATTGAGTGATAGAATTAGAAGAGAGAGGCGCTGAATTTGTAGAAGAGACAATAATTATGAAGTGGATGCAACTTATGGTATTAGTGGTGTGCATGTCATGCCCTTATGGAAGCAACATTATGTATTTTTGCATCTGCTATTTGGCTTTGATTCATCGGCCAAGTAAGTTGCTTTAAAAGAGTGGACTCTGAATTATATAAAAGATGACCTGAATTAAGTCAGGAAAGGTGTGCAGTGTTGTGTATATGTCTACGTGCGTACCCTGATATCTTTTTTCTTCAGTTTTACTATTTGCTTTTGAGTTTCCCTTCATCCTAGTAACGGAACATGTTTGTTTTTCAAAGTAGCTTGTAAATCAAAGACTCACCTAATTTCTTTTTTCTCAGTGGCACACTTGAGATAAACTGTTCAAAGGATATCAAAGTTCAAGGGATCATTGGACCTTGCACGTCTTTGGAGAAGGTTGGTTAAATGTCATTGACTTGATTTATCTGAAGCAGCTTTAATTGGAAACAGACAATTTTTTTCTGCTTTGAATGCCTGGTAGGATCTTCTGATCTAAATTGTTATTTGTAAGGTTGATACTGATTGCTGCAAGCCTTGCAGAAAGGACCTGCTGNCTGTTTTACTATTTGCTTTTGAGTTTCCCTTCATCCTAGTAATGGAACATGTTTGTTTTTCAAAGTAGCCTGTAAATCAAAGACTCACTAAATTTCTTTTTTCTCAGTGGCACACTTGAGATAAACTGTTCAAAGGATATCAAAGTTCAAGGGATCATTGGACCTTGCACGTCTTTGGAGAAGGTTGGTTAAATGTCATTGACTTGATTTATCTGAAGCAGCTTTAATTGGAAACAGACAATTTTTTTCTGCTTTGAATGCCTGGTAGGATCTTCTGATCTAAATTGTTATTTGTAAGGTTGATACTGATTGCTGCAAGCCTTGCAGAAAGGACCTGCTGTTGCCAGCACTGTTATTGGACAGGGGAATTCTACAGCTTGGAAGATGTGTGGCCTTGAAAAAAGTACTTGCTTGACTGTTTTCTTTGATATTTCATCTAGTGAAAAATCGGATCCTTCAGGAAATTTAAATCCACAGTTGTACATACAGTTTCTTACTAGGTATGCTGGAAAATCTTATTGGTTGGGTTCTTTTTGTGTTTAAAATATAGCTTATCTGCTTCTGCACTGGACATTGGTTTTTTTCTGGGTTTTTGCAATAGTTGTTACAACTCTTGGGCCTAAGTTGTACTGCTTTACCTTTCTAAAAGGGCACAAGTATTGCTTGTGTTATGATTGAATTTTTTGTTGGCCTTGGATTTAAATGCAGTTATCAGAGCTCTGATGCCCAAACAAGGTTGCAAGTTACAACCATCACTAGAAGGTGGATAGATAGTGCTGTAGGCTCAGAGGTATTGTAGTGAAAAGTTCAAGTTCTTTTTCTTGTTTTTTGTTCTGTGGGTTCCATTTCTTTTTGATTACCCATATGTTTTACATTAATATTTTTTNTTTGCTTTTCTTTATAGTTTGTATGTTTTGTTGGTTGGCCGTTATGTTTTGATAGACTTGAGCGTTTGGCTTGAGAGAGATGGTAGTGTTATATTATTCTGCTATAGAAACTATGAGCAAGTGAAATTACAGTACAGGACTTGTGAAAACAAGGTCATAATCTAATTAAGGTTTAAATTGGTATGCAATTGATTGTGCTCCTTTTGAATGATTTTGCTCTGGAATTTTCCTTGGATTCCAGAAAATATCAAAATACAATCCGTAGGATGAACAAAGTGAAATGTTCAATGTGAGATGCAAAGATTTTTTGTTTCCTGTAGTTATTTTGTTGGTTTTTTGTGTGGGTAGTTTGTTCCATTTTTTGCTTGGATATTTCGTATGCGACCATAGAAATGTATTTTACAACTTTTGAGACATGAAGAGACATATTGTTGCTAAACTTAACTCTAGTCAAAGAGGGTGCATTACCATGCTTTGATTCTAATGCAGTGCAAGTTTTTAGGTTGGGGTTGCAGAGATGAAGGTTGCTATTGAAAGAACAGGTGGCCTTGTTGTTCTAGCCGAAAGTTTTGGTCATTCTGTTTTTAAAGACTCTTTTAGGCGCGTTTTTGAAGAAGGGGAACAAGCACTTGGTCTCTCCTTCAAGTGAGTTTCTCAATATTAAAAGTTCCAAACTTCTTAAATTCTTCATTAATCTGTTTTCCATTTATGTCTTGTTTAGGCACTATGTGATTTTGAGGGACTTATTCTTTACAATTCCCTCATCTCATACATTATAGATGGTATTGTTTTGGATATATATTTCATGGATTGCGTATGGTTGAAATGACTGTTCCTTTAAAACCATATACCATAAATAACATAATCTGGTCTGTTAATAGTTATCTGATTGGTTGTGGCAAGTTCGAAGCTTCATTCTATGATTCTAGTTACATGTTATGTGTGTTTCTCTCTCCAAATGTGTATTATTACTTTGAGCTTCATAGTTTGTGTCAGAGATGTGTGGTTTATTGTGTGAGAAAGATTATTTATATAATATACATGTGAGATGTGCCTATGTTATAATTCTTTATATAATATGCATGTGCGATGTGCCTATGTCATAATATTAATCCATACTCCTGTCATAACATTAATCCATACTCCTGAGCAAATCTATTGGCTACTAATGGAGCTTTGTATCTTTCCACAATGCCATGTGATTTTGTTTTGATCTTATAAACCTACTTACAACCAATGCGGTATTTGTCAATAGGTAAAGGAACTAATTCCCAAGTTCAGGTGTTATGTAAGGTAGATAACTTCTCATCCATAGCCTGTTGTCAAAGGGGATCAAGGATAGCCTCCTTATAAGAGGTGGGCTCAGACAAAGAATGAATAGAAGTGAGAAAGACTCATAAGTTAGAATAATAATAAGAGTTGGAGAAATCAAACCTATCTAGACATATCTAAGAGCGATGAGGATAGCGAGAAACATGATCCACAATGCCAGAACTTGATTGAGTGATAGAATTAGAAGAGAGAGGCGCTGAATTTGTAGAAGAGACAATAATTATGAAGTGGATGCAACTTATGGTATTAGTGGTGTGCATGTCATGCCCTTATGGAAGCAACATTATGTATTTTTGCATCTGCTATTTGGCTTTGATTCATCGGCCAAGTAAGTTGCTTTAAAAGAGTGGACTCTGAATTATATAAAAGATGACCTGAATTAAGTCAGGAAAGGTGTGCAGTGTTGTGTATATGTCTACGTGCGTACCCTGATATCTTTTTTCTTCAGTTTTACTATTTGCTTTTGAGTTTCCCTTCATCCTAGTAACGGAACATGTTTGTTTTTCAAAGTAGCTTGTAAATCAAAGACTCACCTAATTTCTTTTTTCTCAGTGGCACACTTGAGATAAACTGTTCAAAGGATATCAAAGTTCAAGGGATCATTGGACCTTGCACGTCTTTGGAGAAGGTTGGTTAAATGTCATTGACTTGATTTATCTGAAGCAGCTTTAATTGGAAACAGACAATTTTTTTCTGCTTTGAATGCCTGGTAGGATCTTCTGATCTAAATTGTTATTTGTAAGGTTGATACTGATTGCTGCAAGCCTTGCAGAAAGGACCTGCTGTTGCCAGCACTGTTATTGGACAGGGGAATTCTACAGCTTGGAAGATGTGTGGCCTTGAAAAAAGTACTTGCTTGACTGTTTTCTTTGATATTTCATCTAGTGAAAAATCGGATCCTTCAGGAAATTTAAATCCACAGTTGTACATACAGTTTCTTACTAGGTATGCTGGAAAATCTTATTGGTTGGGTTCTTTTTGTGTTTAAAATATAGCTTATCTGCTTCTGCACTGGACATTGGTTTTTTTCTGGGTTTTTGCAATAGTTGTTACAACTCTTGGGCCTAAGTTGTACTGCTTTACCTTTCTAAAAGGGCACAAGTATTGCTTGTGTTATGATTGAATTTTTTGTTGGCCTTGGATTTAAATGCAGTTATCAGAGCTCTGATGCCCAAACAAGGTTGCAAGTTACAACCATCACTAGAAGGTGGATAGATAGTGCTGTAGGCTCAGAGGTATTGTAGTGAAAAGTTCAAGTTCTTTTTCTTGTTTTTTGTTCTGTGGGTTCCATTTCTTTTTGATTACCCATATGTTTTACATTAATATTTTTTCCCGGAAAAGTACACAAATTCTTATTAGTATTTAATCTATTATATTTAAGAAGAATGGACATGTGGGGTTTTATTTTTCTTTGGTGGTGCTTTTTTGTTTATTAAGATAGATTACACATCCTTAATAAATCATCTCTATATGGTACGAGCCAATTTTGTTTGAAAGAATAGTTCTTAGCCCCCCATCCAAAAAAAAAAGAAAAAGGAAAAAGAAAGAATCAAAAAAAAAAAAAACACACACACACACACACACACACAAAAGGGAAAACCAAATTTGGGAAAACTTGAAATGTACTTATTTACGGATAGAAGGTTTTATACAATCTATCCTTGGCACTTTGAAAAACTAGTCTCACCAACTGGAATTTGCTTTAACCACATACTGAAAGGTATGCACTCTCATTTGCTGTGATCACATGCCCCTGGAGAGGCAAGTTGAAGATTTAAACATCTCCTTGCTTAATATAGTTGTATTGTCTTGCTTTTGTGCTGTCTTTATTTTATTTCTAGCATTCTTTATTTCTGGTCCTTACAGTCATGGGGAACACAAAGGAATCGGCTATCTTGGGTGGAAGTATTATTTTAGGAATTTAATTTTGGGCTATTTTACTTGATAGTTTAGGAAATTAAATCTTATTCCGATTTGGTTATCTTTGGGAGTGCCTGTATGTCTGGGGCTTATGTATTGGAAATCTCAATGTTTGCCATGGACGCTTCCTCTCTCACGTTGCTTTCTTTCTTTATTTTTCTGTTCCTCGCCTTCTCTATTCTTCTCTCTCTTTGTTGACTCGTTGCTATCTGCCTACTCTCTCTAATTCTTTCTTGTCCTTCATGGTCTGCGGTTGATACCTCAATGATTTTCAGAGTTGAGCAAATTTATACTCATTTGTTGACTTGACATGATTGTGACGATTTTAGGAGCCTTTATTTGTTAATGCATGATGTGTTTTGTCCCTCGCTATTATATTCTATATCTCATGAAAAATATTGATGAAGGATCTGGTTTCCTTTTAGCACTTGGTATGGTGGGGCTGTTTTGTTGGGTTGCATTTTTGAAGTTCTGCTGGTTTCCTTTTAGTACTTGGAAGGTTGATACTGACAGAAGAATAATGTCTTTGCAGGAATTAGTACAAGGATTTGATCAAGAAACTGCAGCTGTAGTAATGGCAAGGTTGATTTCTTATAAAATGGAGATTGAGGTACTTCTGCTATGTTAAGCTTTTGCTTGGACCAGCATGCAGATGCACGAAGACATATCGTCCATATAGTTCAGCTCTTACTGCATTACTCAGTTGTGGCCTCACTTGTACTGGCAATGGTCTCATTCATGAGTGTTCTATTGTCCTTTATCACTAGGATGAACAATGGAGATGGCGTTCATGGGGGCTATGTTCTATTGCTTTTTTACGAAAGGAATTCGCCCGGATGACTTGAATACACAATGACAAGCAGTCCCCCTCCCCCCACTAATATTGCCATTCTATCTAGTGCAAATGATTCTTTTTCCTGCTCATCTAAGTGCAAGCTGCATCTGCTTGATTATATACCATTGTCTTTATTATTCTTGCTTTTATCATTTAGTGTATGGCTGAACTTAAAACCTATCCATGGATTTTGTATTTGCCAGGAAGGATTTGATGCCACACGGTGGTTGGATCGGACCCTTATTCGTCTCTGTTCCAAATTCGGTGACTACCGGAAGGATGACCCAGCCTCATTTACATTAAATCCCAGTTTTTCATTGTTTCCTCAGTTTATGTTTAACCTGCGGCGATCACAATTTGTGCAGGTAATTATNAATTTCTTTTTTCTCAGTGGCACACTTGAGATAAACTGTTCAAAGGATATCAAAGTTCAAGGGATCATTGGACCTTGCACGTCTTTGGAGAAGGTTGGTTAAATGTCATTGACTTGATTTATCTGAAGCAGCTTTAATTGGAAACAGACAATTTTTTTCTGCTTTGAATGCCTGGTAGGATCTTCTGATCTAAATTGTTATTTGTAAGGTTGATACTGATTGCTGCAAGCCTTGCAGAAAGGACCTGCTGTTGCCAGCACTGTTATTGGACAGGGGAATTCTACAGCTTGGAAGATGTGTGGCCTTGAAAAAAGTACTTGCTTGACTGTTTTCTTTGATATTTCATCTAGTGAAAAATCGGATCCTTCAGGAAATTTAAATCCACAGTTGTACATACAGTTTCTTACTAGGTATGCTGGAAAATCTTATTGGTTGGGTTCTTTTTGTGTTTAAAATATAGCTTATCTGCTTCTGCACTGGACATTGGTTTTTTTCTGGGTTTTTGCAATAGTTGTTACAACTCTTGGGCCTAAGTTGTACTGCTTTACCTTTCTAAAAGGGCACAAGTATTGCTTGTGTTATGATTGAATTTTTTGTTGGCCTTGGATTTAAATGCAGTTATCAGAGCTCTGATGCCCAAACAAGGTTGCAAGTTACAACCATCACTAGAAGATGGATAGATAGTGCTGTAGGCTCAGAGGTATTGTAGTGAAAAGTTCAAGTTCTTTTTCTTGTTTTTTGTTCTGTGGGTTCCATTTCTTTTTGATTACCCATATGTTTTACATTAATATTTTTTTCCGGAAAAGTACACAAATTCTTATTAGTATTTAATCTATTATATTTAAGAAGAATGGACATGTGGGGTTTTATTTTCTTTGGTGGTGCTTTTTTGTTTATTAAGATAGATTACACATCCTTAATAAATCATCTCTATATGGTACGAGCCAATTTTGTTTGAAAGAATAGTTCTTAGCCCCCCATCCAAAAAAAAAAGAAAAAGGAAAAAGAAAGAATCAAAAAAAAAAAAAACACACACACACACACACACACACAAAAGGGAAAACCAAATTTGGGAAAACTTGAAATGTACTTATTTACGGATAGAAGGTTTTATACAATCTATCCTTGGCACTTTGAAAAACTAGTCTCACCAACTGGAATTTGCTTTAACCACATACTGAAAGGTATGCACTCTCATTTGCTGTGATCACATGCCCCTGGAGAGGCAAGTTGAAGATTTAAATATCCTTGCTTAATATAGTTGTATTGTCTTGCTTTTGTGCTTTCTTTATTTTATTTCTAGCATTCTTTATTTCTGGTCCTTACAGTCATGGGGAACACAAAGGAATCGGCTATCTTGGGTGGAAGTATTATTTTAGGAATTTAATTTTGGGCTATTTTACTTGATAGTTTAGGAAATTAAATCTTATTCCGATTTGGTTATCTTTGGGAGTGCCTGTATGTCTGGGGCTTATGTATTGGAAATCTCAATGTTTGCCATGGACGCTTCCTCTCTCACGTTGCTTTCTTTCTTTATTTTTCTGTTCCTCGCCTTCTCTATTCTTCTCTCTCTTTGTTGACTCGTTGCTATCTGCCTACTCTCTCTAATTCTTTCTTGTCCTTCATGGTCTGCAGTTGATACCTCAATGATTTTCAGAGTTGAGCAAANAGAGCGATGGGGATAGCGAGAAGCATGATCCACAATGCCAGAACTTGATTGAGTGATAGAATTAGAAGAGAGAGGCGCTGAATTTGTAGAAGAGACAATAATTATGAAGTGGATGCAACTTATGGTATTAGTGGTGTGCATGTCATGCCCTTATGGAAGCAACATTATGTATTTTTGCATCTGCTATTTGGCTTTGATTCATCGGCCAAGTAAGTTGCTTTAAAAGAGTGGACTCTGAATTATATAAAAGATGACCTGAATTAAGTCAGGAAAGGTGTGCAGTGTTGTGTATATGTCTACGTGCGTACCCTGATATCTTTTTTCTTCAGTTTTACTATTTGCTTTTGAGTTTCCCTTCATCCTAGTAACGGAACATGTTTGTTTTTCAAAGTAGCTTGTAAATCAAAGACTCACCTAATTTCTTTTTTCTCAGTGGCACACTTGAGATAAACTGTTCAAAGGATATCAAAGTTCAAGGGATCATTGGACCTTGCACGTCTTTGGAGAAGGTTGGTTAAATGTCATTGACTTGATTTATCTGAAGCAGCTTTAATTGGAAACAGACAATTTTTTTCTGCTTTGAATGCCTGGTAGGATCTTCTGATCTAAATTGTTATTTGTAAGGTTGATACTGATTGCTGCAAGCCTTGCAGAAAGGACCTGCTGTTGCCAGCACTGTTATTGGACAGGGGAATTCTACAGCTTGGAAGATGTGTGGCCTTGAAAAAAGTACTTGCTTGACTGTTTTCTTTGATATTTCATCTAGTGAAAAATCGGATCCTTCAGGAAATTTAAATCCACAGTTGTACATACAGTTTCTTACTAGGTATGCTGGAAAATCTTATTGGTTGGGTTCTTTTTGTGTTTAAAATATAGCTTATCTGCTTCTGCACTGGACATTGGTTTTTTTCTGGGTTTTTGCAATAGTTGTTACAACTCTTGGGCCTAAGTTGTACTGCTTTACCTTTCTAAAAGGGCACAAGTATTGCTTGTGTTATGATTGAATTTTTTGTTGGCCTTGGATTTAAATGCAGTTATCAGAGCTCTGATGCCCAAACAAGGTTGCAAGTTACAACCATCACTAGAAGGTGGATAGATAGTGCTGTAGGCTCAGAGGTATTGTAGTGAAAAGTTCAAGTTCTTTTTCTTGTTTTTTGTTCTGTGGGTTCCATTTCTTTTTGATTACCCATATGTTTTACATTAATATTTTTTCCCGGAAAAGTACACAAATTCTTATTAGTATTTAATCTATTATATTTAAGAAGAATGGACATGTGGGGTTTTATTTTTCTTTGGTGGTGCTTTTTTGTTTATTAAGATAGATTACACATCCTTAATAAATCATCTCTATATGGTACGAGCCAATTTTGTTTGAAAGAATAGTTCTTAGCCCCCCATCCAAAAAAAAAGAAAAAGGAAAAAGAAAGAATCAAAAAAAAAAAAAACACACACACACACACACACACACAAAAGGGAAAACCAAATTTGGGAAAACTTGAAATGTACTTATTTACGGATAGAAGGTTTTATACAATCTATCCTTGGCACTTTGAAAAACTAGTCTCACCAACTGGAATTTGCTTTAACCACATACTGAAAGGTATGCACTCTCATTTGCTGTGATCACATGCCCCTGGAGAGGCAAGTTGAAGATTTAAACATCTCCTTGCTTAATATAGTTGTATTGTCTTGCTTTTGTGCTGTCTTTATTTTATTTCTAGCATTCTTTATTTCTGGTCCTTACAGTCATGGGGAACACAAAGGAATCGGCTATCTTGGGTGGAAGTATTATTTTAGGAATTTAATTTTGGGCTATTTTACTTGATAGTTTAGGAAATTAAATCTTATTCCGATTTGGTTATCTTTGGGAGTGCCTGTATGTCTGGGGCTTATGTATTGGAAATCTCAATGTTTGCCATGGACGCTTCCTCTCTCACGTTGCTTTCTTTCTTTATTTTTCTGTTCCTCGCCTTCTCTATTCTTCTCTCTCTTTGTTGACTCGTTGCTATCTGCCTACTCTCTCTAATTCTTTCTTGTCCTTCATGGTCTGCGGTTGATACCTCAATGATTTTCAGAGTTGAGCAAATTTATACTCATTTGTTTACTTGACATGATTGTGACGATTTTAGGAGCCTTTATTTGTTAATGCATGATGTGTTTTGTCCCTCGCTATTATATTCTATATCTCATGAAAAATATTGATGAAGGATCTGGTTTCCTTTTAGCACTTGGTATGGTGGGGCTGTTTTGTTGGGTTGCATTTTTGAAGTTCTGCTGGTTTCCTTTTAGTACTTGGAAGGTTGATACTGACGGAAGAATAATGTCTTTGCAGGAATTAGTACAAGGATTTGATCAAGAAACTGCAGCTGTAGTAATGGCAAGGTTGACTTCTTATAAAATGGAGATTGAGGTACTTCTGCTATGTTAAGCTTTTGCTTGGACCAGCATGCAGATGCACGAAGACATGTCGTCCATATAGTTCAGCTCTTACTGCATTACTCAGTTGTGGCCTCACTTGTACTGGCAATGGTCTCATTCATGAGTGTTCTATTGTCCTTTATCACTAGGATGAACAATGGAGATGGTGTTCATGGGGGCTATGTTCTATTGCTTTTTTACGAAAGGAATTCGCCCGGATGACTTGAATACACAATGACAAGCAGTCCCCCTCCCCCCACTAATATTGCCATTCTATCTAGTGCAAATGATTCTTTTTCCTGCTCATCTAAGTGCAAGCTGCATCTGCTTGATTATATACCATTGTCTTTATTATTCTTGCTTTTATCATTTAGTGTATGGCTGAACTTAAAACCTATCCATGGATTTTGTATTTGCCAGGAAGGATTTGATGCCACACGGTGGTTGGATCGGACCCTTATTCGTCTCTGTTCCAAATTCGGTGACTACCGGAAGGATGACCCAGCCTCATTTACATTAAATCCCAGTTTTTCATTGTTTCCTCAGTTTATGTTTAACCTGCGGCGATCACAATTTGTGCAGGTAATTATGACTTCTGATTGACCCTTTTCCTCTTATTTGTCAACGTTACGATATGTCTATTTGTGTGTCATCTTGCTCTTACTTGAATTTGTAACTTTCATCCTTTTCCTCTTTTGGTTCAATCTTTCCAATATATTTTGTGTAATCTCTCTCTCTCTCTCTTTGGCAGGTGTTTAACAATAGTCCAGATGAGACTGCCTATTTCCGCATATTGTTGAACCGTGAGAGTATAATTAACGCAGCTGTGATGATTCAACCATCACTAATGTCATATTCATTCAATTCGTTACCTGCACCAGCTTTGCTGGATGTGGCATCCATTGCCGCTGATCGTATCCTATTATTGGATTCATACTTCAGCATTGTTATTTTCCATGGAATGACAATAGCTCAGTGGAGGACCATGGGCTATCAGAACCAGCTAGAGCACCAGGTATTTGAACGTTATTTTCATTTTTGTCCTTGAACTGGACATTTGGTGATCACGTGAAAGAAACGGTTGAACCAAAAAAGTGAACTAAGGCCTTGGGTAGAAGCCCAGCTGCTTGATCTTTTTTTGAGATAAGAGTAAGGGGTCCCCAGGAATAATAATTTGAGTTAATTTTTGCTCTACTGATGCCTATTCCCCTCCCNACCACATACTGAAAGGTATGCACTCTCATTTGCTGTGATCACATGCCCCTGGAGAGGCAAGTTGAAGATTTAAACATCTCCTTGCTTAATATAGTTGTATTGTCTTGCTTTTGTGCTGTCTTTATTTTATTTCTAGCATTCTTTATTTCTGGTCCTTACAGTCATGGGGAACACAAAGGAATCGGCTATCTTGGGTGGAAGTATTATTTTAGGAATTTAATTTTGGGCTATTTTACTTGATAGTTTAGGAAATTAAATCTTATTCCGATTTGGTTATCTTTGGGAGTGCCTGTATGTCTGGGGCTTATGTATTGGAAATCTCAATGTTTGCCATGGACGCTTCCTCTCTCACGTTGCTTTCTTTCTTTATTTTTCTGTTCCTCGCCTTCTCTATTCTTCTCTCTCTTTGTTGACTCGTTGCTATCTGCCTACTCTCTCTAATTCTTTCTTGTCCTTCATGGTCTGCAGTTGATACCTCAATGATTTTCAGAGTTGAGCAAATTTATACTCATTTGTTTACTTGACATGATTGTGACGATTTTAGGAGCCTTTATTTGTTAATGCATGATGTGTTTTGTCCCTCGCTATTATATTCTATATCTCATGAAAAATATTGATGAAGGATCTGGTTTCCTTTTAGCACTTGGTATGGTGGGGCTGTTTTGTTGGGTTGCATTTTTGAAGTTCTGCTGGTTTCCTTTTAGTACTTGGAAGGTTGATACTGACGGAAGAATAATGTCTTTGCAGGAATTAGTACAAGGATTTGATCAAGAAACTGCAGCTGTAGTAATGGCAAGGTTGACTTCTTATAAAATGGAGATTGAGGTACTTCTGCTATGTTAAGCTTTTGCTTGGACCAGCATGCAGATGCACGAAGACATGTCGTCCATATAGTTCAGCTCTTACTGCATTACTCAGTTGTGGCCTCACTTGTACTGGCAATGGTCTCATTCATGAGTGTTCTATTGTCCTTTATCACTAGGATGAACAATGGAGATGGCGTTCATGGGGGCTATGTTCTATTGCTTTTTTACGAAAGGAATTCGCCCGGATGACTTGAATACACAATGACAAGCAGTCCCCCTCCCCCCACTAATATTGCCATTCTATCTAGTGCAAATGATTCTTTTTCCTGCTCATCTAAGTGCAAGCTGCATCTGCTTGATTATATACCATTGTCTTTATTATTCTTGCTTTTATCATTTAGTGTATGGCTGAACTTAAAACCTATCCATGGATTTTGTATTTGCCAGGAAGGATTTGATGCCACACGGTGGTTGGATCGGACCCTTATTCGTCTCTGTTCCAAATTCGGTGACTACCGGAAGGATGACCCAGCCTCATTTACATTAAATCCCAGTTTTTCATTGTTTCCTCAGTTTATGTTTAACCTGCGGCGATCACAATTTGTGCAGGTAATTATGACTTCTGATTGACCCTTTTCCTCTTATTTGTCAACGTTACGATATGTCTATTTGTGTGTCATCTTGCTCTTACTTGAATTTGTAACTTTCATCCTTTTCCTCTTTTGGTTCAATCTTTCCAATATATTTTGTGTACTCTCTCTCTCTCTCTCTGGCAGGTGTTTAACAATAGTCCAGATGAGACTGCCTATTTCCGCATATTGTTGAACCGTGAGAGTATAATTAACGCAGCTGTGATGATTCAACCATCACTAATGTCATATTCATTCAATTCGTTACCTGCACCAGCTTTGCTGGATGTGGCATCCATTGCCGCTGATCGTATCCTATTGTTGGATTCATACTTCAGCATTGTTATTTTCCATGGAATGACAATAGCTCAGTGGAGGACCATGGGCTATCAGAACCAGCTAGAGCACCAGGTATTTGAACGTTATTTTCATTTTTGTCCTTGAACTGGACATTTGGTGATCACGTGAAAGAAACGGTTGAACCAAAAAAGTGAACTAAGGCCTTGGGTAGAAGCCCAGCTGCTTGATCTTTTTTTGAGATAAGAGTAAGGGGTCCCCAGGAATAATAATTTGAGTTAATTTTTGCTCTACTGATGCCTATTCCCCCCCCCCCCCCCCCCCCAAAAAAAAAAAAAAAAAAAAACAAAAAAAACCCAATAGGCATTTGCACAGTTATTGCAAGCTCCGCGTGACGATGCTGAACTGATCATCCGTGAGCGGTTCCCTGTCCCAAGATTGGTTGTGTGCGATCAGCATGGCTCCCAGGTTGTCTTTTTTACCATAATCTCAGTCTCATTATGATTTGCTTTGCCATGACATTTGTCTGTTTACATGTCGTTATCAGTAGTTTTCTTAAAACTCTATAGTTGTTGAGTCCTGTAACTAGGGGCAGATAGAAAACAACTGTGGCTTTTGTTGAACTTGTGAATCGTTCAGGAATAAGTGTAGACCAAGGATTGTGCTTGCGTATGGTAGTGAAAGCTTTAGGGTAGGCATGTTTGTTACTAGCCAGCCAAAGGTGTTATTACTTATAAAAGCATAAAATGAGATAAAGACAATGAAATATTTATAGATCACAAACGAGAATACTTGTTTGTGGAAATTAGAAGATTATTAGAATAGTGACACCAAGATCTGATTATTATTTGATGTTTGATCGAGTTATATAATGGTTTAGTTTGAAATGATAAGAACAGCAATATTTTGGTTAGCTACAAATTAATGGAAATTTGGCATATGCCTCGTGTTCCTAGAAGATCCTGAACTTCTTTTGAGACTTGATTAATCGTTTTAACACCTTCCCTTTGGAGACGGCTTCAAAGCTTTCATGATATTAGCTATGCTCGCATCACACTTCTGGGCCAGTGTTATAGTCGACCATGAAAGAATGTTGGAAGGTGATAAATAATATTCCGAAATCTGTTTGACTTGCTGGTGCAGTAATAGTTTTGGTCTATATATATTTAGTATATAACTGTCAGCAGTCCATATGGAAACTGAAACGCACTGGTATATTTTATCTTTATCCCGTTTTCATTGGTTGTTATTTTTGTCATAGAACTTCTTGTACAAGGATATTATCCCGGAAGTTATATGACAGTGCAGGTGCACAGCAGCATTATTTTGCCTTACAACTCCTGAAGTATTTCTTTTAGGTTTTGTGTAAGCAAAGTGTTTTTTTTTTTCCCTTCAAAACTCTCTCCATTGAGTCCATACTTGCACTTGGTGCTTTTGTAGAAGTCCCGTACTGTTTGATGACATATATCTAATTAGATGATCCAAGCTGTATAGCTGAGCCCCAAATTGTTTGAAATTGGAGTGTACTACAGTGCCTCTCTGGATGGGCATTAACGAATTATGGTGTTGTTTAGTTGCGAAAAGACCACTTGTGGTTTCAAAATTCCTCAGAATGTCCGTTTTCCCCAAAAACTCGTAGATAGTTAAAACCAATTTTTTGGCATCATGGGGAGGGTGCTCTGACTGGTGTTCTGGTTCATCTTGCTGATATTGGGGGACTCAAATTTGTCTCTAAATTTTATGACATGTTGAGCAGGCAAGATTCCTTTTGGCCAAGTTGAACCCGTCTGCAACGTACAATAATGCTCATGAGATGGCTGCTGGTTCAGACGTGATCTTCACAGATGATGTGAGTCTTCAAGTGTTCTTCGAACATCTTCAGAGGTTGGCTGTGCAATCTTCTTGAGACCCAAAAAATAGACTTATACAGTTGGGGTTCCTGGTTTTGTGACAATCCCACAGTGCGAGTTCTCATCCTTCTCTGCTTATACTCTTGTCCCATCTGTATCTTTCTGTCAATTGTGCATGAGATGAGAGAAGAGACCCCATATTTATTTTGAACAATAAGGAAATCACTTTTATCATTCTTTGGGGTGTGAAGGGGTACTTGCTTCCATTCGATAATAAGAGAGAGAGGTCTGTAGTTTTGACTGATATGGGAAAGCAAGGATGAGAATGCAAACTAAGAGGCATCCCCCTACTCCAGTAGCCGGGCCAGATCTCTCGGGGCAATATTTTCAATTTTTCATTNACTGATATGGGAAAGCAAGGATGAGAATGCAAACTAAGAGGCATCCCCCTACTCCAGTAGCCGGGCCAGATCTCTCGGGGCAATATTTTCAATTTTTCATTTTCTTTTTTTTATTTGTAAGNCGTGAGCGGTTCCCTGTCCCAAGATTGGTTGTGTGCGATCAGCATGGCTCCCAGGTCGTCTTTTTTACCATAATCTCAGTCTCATTATGATTTGCTTTGCCATGACATTTGTCTGTTTACATGTCGTTATCAGTAGTTTTCTTAAAACTCTATAGTTGTTGAGTCCTGTAACTAGGGGCAGATAGAAAACAACTGTGGCTTTTGTTGAACTTGTGAATCGTTCAGGAATAAGTGTAGACCAAGGATTGTGCTTGCGTATGGTAGTGAAAGCTTTAGGGTAGGCATGTTTGTTACTAGCCAGCCAAAGGTGTTATTACTTATAAAAGCATAAAATGAGATAAAGACAATGAAATATTTATAGATCACAAACGAGAATACTTGTTTGTGGAAATTAGAAGATTATTAGAATAGTGACACCAAGATCTGATTATTATTTGATGTTTGATCGAGTTATATAATGGTTTAGTTTGAAATGATAAGAACAGCAATATTTTGGTTAGCTACAAATTAATGGAAATTTGGCATATGCCTCGTGTTCCTAGAAGATCCTGAACTTCTTTTGAGACTTGATTAATCGTTTTAACACCTTCCCTTTGGAGACGGCTTCAAAGCTTTCATGATATTAGCTATGCTCGCATCACACTTCTGGGCCAGTGTTATAGTCGACCATGAAAGAATGTTGGAAGGTGATAAATAATATTCCGAAATCTGTTTGACTTGCTGGTGCAGTAATAGTTTTGGTCTATATATATTTAGTATATAACTGTCAGCAGTCCATATGGAAACTGAAACGCACTGGTATATTTTATCTTTATTCCGTTTTCATTGGTTGTTATTTTTGTCATAGAACTTCTTGTACTAGGATATTATCCCGGAAGTTATATGACAGTGCAGGTGCACAGCAGCATTATTTTGCCTTACAACTCCTGAAGTATTTCTTTTAGGTTTTGTGTAAGCAAAGTGTTTTTTTTTTTCCCTTCAAAACTCTCTCCATTGAGTCCATACTTGCACTTGGTGCTTTTGTAGAAGTCCCGTACTGTTTGATGACATATATCTAATTAGTTGATCCAAGCTGTATAGCTGAGCCCCAAATTGTTTGAAATTGGAGTGTACTACAGTGCCTCTCTGGATGGGCATTAACGAATTATGGTGTTGTTTAGTTGCCAAAAGACCACTTGTGGTTTCAAAATTCCTCAGAATGTCCGTTTTCCCCAAAAACTCGTAGATAGTTAAAACCAATTTTTTGGCATCATGGGGAGGGTGCTCTGACTGGTGTTCTGGTTCATCTTGCTGATATTGGGGGACTCAAATTTGTCTCTAAATTTTATGACATGTTGAGCAGGCAAGATTCCTTTTGGCCAAGTTGAACCCGTCTGCAACGTACAATAATGCTCATGAGATGGCTGCTGGTTCAGACGTGATCTTCACAGATGATGTGAGTCTTCAAGTGTTCTTCGAACATCTTCAGAGGTTGGCTGTGCAATCTTCTTGAGACCCAAAAAATAGACTTATACGGTTGGGGTTCCTGGTTTTGTGACAATCCCACAGTGCGAGTTCTCATCCTTCTCTGCTTATACTCTTGTCCCATCTGTATCTTTCTGTCAATTGTGCATGAGATGAGAGAAGAGACCCCATATTTATTTTGAACAATAAGGAAATCACTTTTATCATTCTTTGGGGTGTGAAGGGGTACTTGCTTCCATTCGATAATAAGAGAGAGAGGTCTGTAGTTTTGAGTTATATGGGAAAGCAAGGATGAGAATGCAAACTAAGAGGCATCCCTACTCCAGTAGCCGGGTNGGGTGTGAAGGGGTACTTGCTTCCATTCGATAATAAGAGAGAGAGGTCTGTAGTTTTGACTGATATGGGAAAGCAAGGATGAGAATGCAAACTAAGAGGCATCCCCCTACTCCAGTAGCCGGGTCAGATCTCTCGGGGCAATATTTTCAATTTTTCATTTTCTTTTTTTTATTTGTAAGTCGCCACCCAGGTTAGATGTTTGTCTTTTTTGTATTTGAATACAAGGTTACATAGTTGGAGTCAAGGCTTCCATGTTGAGAAATTCGGGAAGTTTCTACCTTTTTTCTGTTGTCTTATCTTTTAAAGTACGTTATACACAGTTAAACACACNCTTTTTTTTATTTGTAAGTCGCCACCCAGGTTAGATGTTTGTCTTTTTTGTATTTGAATACAAGGTTACATAGTTGGAGTCAAGGCTTCCATGTTGAGAAATTCGGAAAGTTTCTACCTTTTTTCTGTTGTCTTATCTTTTAAAGTACGTTATACACAGTTAAACACACCCCTACCCCCGCCGTCTTGATATGTATGTGCCTATATAAAGGGAGGGGAAATGTGCATGTCTCCCCGTAATTGTGGGGTGTGGAGAGTAGTTGTATTTAATCTTATCTCTGCATTTAAGGTGGTTGATTTGGTGATTTAAACCTTTAATGTCCAGATCTACATCAAACCTTTGATGGAGAGAGAGAGAGAGATTTTGTGACAGCTTTGAATGGAAAATTTGGCTTGCTCCCCCTAGGAGCTGTACGATTACAACTAACAAGAATAAAAAGGGGGTGATTGCACGTAACTACTAACTAGGGGTCAGTAGGTGATTTTATAAAATTATGGGATTAATTTGAATTTTTTTTAAAACTTGCACCCACACTAAAAAAAAAAAGTACTCAATGATTATTAATCATCTTCTTGTGAGATGCGATGAGTATTGATGATCGGCGTTCGCTTATGCTCTCATAAATGGCTGTCTGTGTCAGTATTCTATTTTCCCCTTTCATTANAACTTGCACCCACTAAAAAAAAAAAAGTACTCAATGATTATTAATCATCTTCTTGTGAGATGCGATGAGTATTGATGATAGGCGTTCGCTTATGCTCTCATAAATGGCTGTCTGGGTCAGTATTCTATTTTCCCCTTTCATTTCATCTCCTCTCATTTGTTATATGTTTTGGATCTTGTAGTTTGAAACCCTAACTTTGAAATTAGGGTTTAAACCTTTTGAGGAGTTCTAGAGTTCCCTTTTACAGAATTTTAAATATAAATTATGGCTTTTCCCTCAACCTAAACAGAGGAAAGTACAAGACAAGAGACAAATTAATATGTGAAAATTACAAGATTAAATAGAATCCGCCAACTTTCTCCCCCTTACAGAGCATCACGGGCGGCAATTCGGCAAACTATAGCATCAGCAGTCGATGATATCCCTAGTTCCACATTAGATATCTTGTAGTGCCGAAGTAGACCATTATCATCAATTTAAGAAATAACAGTAAAAGCAGCATAAGTTGGTTGAAAATCAATAACCTATTGGAGAATTGCCGGTTNCAGTCGATGATATCCCTAGTTCCACATTAGATATCTTGTAGTGCCGAAGTAGACCATATCATCAATTTAAGAAATAACAGTAAAAGCAGCATAAGTTAGTTGAAAATCAATAACCTATTGGAGAATTGCCGGTGTGTGTGTGAGAGAGACAAGACCCACAAACCTTTTGTATGTGGGTTTGATTTGCCCACCCTTCCAATTCATCTAAATCGATCTCCTTACCTTTGATAAGTTTCTCTACAGCCGTCATCTAGTCATGTAAAAAATGTACATGTATCTTCCCCCATTTAAACAAAGTGCAAACATCAATGATCATGGAACTCTGCAAAACATCATCGAATGACACCGTGGTTTTACCTCACCAGTAGAAGCACCAAAACGGGCCACGAGGACGTAATGTGAGTTGTCCGAGATGCCACATCTTTTCAAAGATAGTAGTAGGTAAATAGAATATATTCATACATGCTTAGAGCCAGAGTAGTTGTAAACAAGCTCAGAATGCAGAGTACGTGTTGTCAATGATTTGGATATAAGAGTCTTATGCGCAGCTGCTCGAAGAGGGATAACATCTGGGATTAGTTTAAAAGATCCATGGAAGTTTTGAAGCATATTTGGGGCAGATAAAACTATGCCTACAAGTGATGCATTGAGAAATGCAACTTCTGGTTCCAGCTTGCATTAAATCCAGAAGTTCTCTGCAAGAAAAGAGTTTATTAGGCACTTGATTTCTAGCAAAGATTTTCTTTGAGCCATGCTACCACCATAAACAATAAACGAAATGCCCTTCCAGACATTCTTTGTTCATCTATTTTGATATAAAGCCCTTGCAGACGTTTTAATATATGATTTCATCTTTAAATCTAAAGTTAGAAACTATTGTATCTCATTATTGCAGCTCCGGAAGAGGTTTTTTTGTGCTTGTGAAAAAAAGGGTTGGGGTAAAGGAGAGAGCAGAGATCACCCCGATAGGCCTTCTCTCCTGACTGCACCCGTTACTCCTCTCGGGAACGAATCTAATTAAGTTAGCGTGGTCAACTACCGAGCCCAATGTGAACTTTAAAACTCGAACCTCCAACTTTAGGGTGAGAAATTCGACCGATACTCCACTGAAGCACCCCACTCGGTTGTGCAGTGGTTGGAAATTGCTTTTGGATCCTTTAATTTTTTGTCAATATTCTTGCTTTTCAAATACTGGCCCCTTTTAGGTTATGTATCTTCTTATCGTGGCTCCTATCAATCTTCTACTATATCTTGTATCTTGTTCCTCTCTTGATTGATTCCAGTGGTTTTGAATGTCTGATTTTGTTCACATGGCCACTATTATGGGCAAAAGGAAGATTACCTTCAAAGTGTCAATGAAGCAAGTTGTCTTTGTACTACACTCATTATGAGACATCCAGGCAACACAAGAAATAGACCTTCACTATGGGAAACCCTTAACAGAGAATAACAGTAGGGAATTGCAAGAGCATTCAGGAAGATATGACCTACAAATTCTGGCACTTCCCAATGAAATCCAACATGAATAATAACAGAAATACATGATAAATTATAGATGACACCAAAGCCCTAAGAGAGGATACATTTTCAGAACCTATATTATCCAGGTTTCTTTTCTATCTGATGCACCTCTGTTTCAGAAAACAAACTTCTCCTCCTCTAGTTGATCAAATTGTAAGGCTTACTACAGAGAACAAAATTATTTCTGAACTTGTAAACCAAGTTAACAGTCCTCCAGAGGTTCATGACTTGGGCAGCAAAAGCTTAGTTGATTTTACCTTTCGAAACCCATGTGCACATGCCCCGTGATACAAAGCATGAAATGAGGAAAAAAGATAGTAGATGCAATGGTGCTATCAATAGGGGAACTTGTATGACACTCAATAAGAAATTCGACCTCACTATACATAACAAGGAAACAATGCCCCCAACCTCCCAGCATATTAAATGCCATCAAGGATGCTAACAATAGGGAACTTGTATGAGGCTCAAAAGCTATTTGATACTCAAACATTCGTTCCTTAGATATAAAACGGTTCAACGTCTATATATATAGTAGATAAACAAAAAAAACAAAAATAAAAATAGGCTAATTGCAATTATTTACAATTTATTTCGATGAATTTTTATATTCTAAAAACGTTGTATGATAACTTTATTAGCAATACTATGGACAATATCTTTATCTATATCAATAATCAAGTCACTCTGCTGATTATTCAAATTAGTACTCACAATTTTCATGAATTAAAAAAATGAAAAATGTGTCCAAAAATTCAGAGTTTATTTGATGTGTCTATCTATACTACTTGATTGTCTAAGAAATTGATAGTGTGGACAAAAAATATGCACCATGAGATATACGTATATACTATTTTTTTGAAAAAAAACATTAAGGTGGGCTCGTACCCCCCTGGTCCACTACTGGCTCCGCCAGTGCGTATTGGTGCCAAAAATGTAAGCACTATAATAGAGATAACCTACAAAAGTAGCCTTTTCTCTCTCTCTCACGAAGCTCATCCATAAGAAGAGAGATACTCAAGGTACTAGTGAATAGCAGATTCCATGAACATTGTTAGGCATTCCAATATTAGAGCAAACCACTATAGAGAAGGTCAGTCAAATTCACTTCATTGTTTTATGGGAAGATATGAGATGTGTTGGTGTTAGTTCTTGGAAGGCCCCATCCATCTTCACTGTTTTTCAAGAAAGGAGCTTGGGAAAGGATCGGATGAGAGCAAGAGCAACTGTAATACGGCATGACACAAAGGTGGACTATTACATATTCAACCCATGGGTCCAAGACATTGAAATTATGTTTTAAAGTGTAAAAATGATAAATTCAAAAATAATTTATGGTCAAAAGTTTCTCAAAACTACTTAAAGCATGGTCAGCCGCCAAACCTTCTACTATGCGGGTAATTTTTTGGTACTGAAAAAATCAATGTCGTACCGAAAGTTATAATTTTTAATAATTAAATTATATTTTTTAATGGTAAAATCACCATTGCTCGAAGAAATTCACGATCAATCAAGAAATACCATGATTGATAATGAATGAAAGACCATTAACGATCATGAATTTCTTCAACTTCTATTTTAGAAGTCAAAACTTAACCCTTAGAAGTTATTAATTTTATGATCAATCACAC